AGAAATTGTGATTAGAAAGATTGCATGAAGGCTGAGGTCTCCAGGCTGGTGACAGCTAAACTGGGAATCCAGCAGACTTGCCCAACCACAATCCTTAGCTCTTCACCTCTTACCAGGGGTGGTTTCCAGGGGATTAAACTTTAGGAGGGCTGAGTTGGACTAGCCAACTGGCTGATATGAGATCCCAAGGAACTAAACATATGACACATAAAGGCCCAAACTCTGAGCAGAGATGCTCTAACTAGTCACTAGGCCAAAAATATTAGTCATCACATTTCAAATTTTATATTTAAGGAAATATTTCTCTTCCATGTCTCATCCCTGCCCCAACACTCTGCAGTGTTTCTCTTGAAAAGCTGTCCAAGGGGAAAAGAGTTAAGTAGACACTTGAAGCATCTGCTGTCCCAGAACTGAGTAGCCAGCAGGATCCTGGTGTTGACTTCTCCCCGATATGGCAGCAGCCATCTGGCTCAGGCAGACCAGTCCCCTGAGTGGCAGCAGCATGAGAGTACCCAAAAACCCTGCACCCAGGAGGGACTTTGCCCTGCCCTGTGGTGTCTAAGCCTGACTGCTGAGTGCAGAGTGACTAGATTAACAACTGAAGGAGACAGCCACAGACAGTAGATTCTTGGAAGACTCAAACAGACTGCCTAAGGTCATACAGGATCAACAAGGGACATCATGAGAGGCAGATCCAGAAAAAAAAAGCAACGGCCTCCTACCATAGAAGTTCACACCACAAAGTCAGGAAATCAAGACAGGTCAACTTAAGAAGGAGCAAAGAAGAGTCTCAAAAATAATGGGAAGAAAAAGAAACACCCCCCCAATAGAAAAGAAACGAGGAATGTCCACAAAGAAACCTAAATGAAATAGAGGCAACTATCAGATATTGAGTTCAAAATAATGGTTCTGGGGAAGCTCAATGAGCTCAGTGAGCTCAGAGAGAATTACCAAAAACTACTGGGAAACTACAAAGAATTTACTGCAAACTATATCACCTTTTTGTTATGAAAAAGGACATAGAAATTATCAACAATAGACAAGAGGAAATGAAGAGCACAATTTCTCAATTGAAGAACACAGTAGAAGGAATCAAAAGCAGGCTAGATAAAGCAGAGGATCGAATCAGTGAGCTGGAGGATAAGGTAGAAAAAAGCTCCCAGAAAGAGGAAGAAAATGAAAAAAGACTCAAAAAGAATAAAGAAGCATTTAAGGAAATGCAGGACAACCTGAAATGTGATAATATCTGCATAATAGGGATACCAGAAGGAGAAGAAGAGGAGCAAGAAATAGAGAACTTACTTGAAAAAGTAATGATGGAAAACTTCTCTACTCTGAGGAGAGAAAAAGTCACACAAGTCCAGGAAGCACAGAGGGTCCCACTCAATAGGAACCCAATGAGGCCCACTCCAAGACACATCATCATTAAAATGGAAAATATCAAAGACAAACAGAGAATCCTAAAGCAAGCAAGGGAGAAACAGGTAGTAATATATAAGGGAGCCCTGATACGGCTAGCAGCTGACTTCTCAACAGAAACATTACAAGCCAGAAGAGAATGGCAAGAAATATTCCAAGTAATGAAAAGCAAAGGCCTGCAACCATACTGCTCTACTCACCAAGGCTCTCAATTCAAATGGAAGGCGAAGTAAGGAGTTTCCCAGACAAAAGAAGGCTAAAAGAATACACCTCCACCAAACCAGCACTGCTAAATATGTTAAAGGGATTACTTTAAAAAGATGAAGAAAGAGTCTATAAATACCTAATTCCTTTCACAGTCACCAATACTTCATATTACCAATATTTTTAATACTCATTAATCTGATTGTGACAATGATGTTTTATTTTAATTGTTCCTTTACTATTTGTTGAAACTAAACCTGTTTTTGTATATTTCTTGCCTATTTCTATTATTTTTAAAAAGCTTTACATGACTTTTTGGTATTCTTTATCCATTTTTTGATTAAATGTTTGTAGAATTTCTTCCCTAAAAAAAAAAAAACAAAACAAAAAACAAACCATTAACCCGTTTTAGATGTGTTGCAAATAGTTTCCTATTCTATTAATTGTCCTATAACTTTTTTTATATGTATATGACTGTACAGTCTTAATTGTTTAATATAGTCATACTGTCAATATTTTACTTCATAGCTTCTGGGTTTGAATATGTTACTTCAGGATAAGAAATATATTAGTTTGCATTATCTCCTAAAACTCCTTAGATTTTATATATTGATTTTTAACTCACCTGAATATTTCTTATATAATGTGTGAACTAGGGCTCTATATTTGTTTTATTTCAAGTAATAGTGGTCCATGCACCTTATTTGTTGAATAAGCCTTATTTTCCCCATTGATTTGAAATATCTATTGAATCATATATTACATTGTTAGACAGACATACACATTTGTTTCTAGAATGATCATTTTATTTCACTGATCTGCTTGATTATTTCTGTGCTGGTGTCATGTTGTTTTAATTGCTGAGACTTTATCATTGATTTAAATTTTTAAATACTTTATAATGGATTTTGACATTAAATAAATAAATAAAATCAATCTGCATTTAAAAAAAAGAAAAAAAGAACTCCTACCTTTTGCGACAACATGGATAGAGCTGGAGAATATTATGCTAAGTGAAACAAGCCAGTTGGTTGGTGAAAGACAAATACCACATGATCTCAACTATAAGTGGAATCTATTCAACAAAATTAACGAACAAAATAAACCACAGGCATGGAAACATGGAGCAGACTTAAAGTGACCAGAGGGATGGGGAAGGAGGACAATGGTGGAAAGAAGGGGAAGGAACTAGACAAAGAACATGTATGAATGACCCATGGACATGGACAACAGAGTGGGAATTGACTCTGAGAGCCAGGAGGCGAGGGGCAGGTGGGATGGGTGGAGGGGGGCAAAGGGGGGAAAACTGAGACAACTGTAATAGAATAAACATGATTTAAAAAAAAAGAGAAGTATCTGCTCTCCTTGTGGTGGTATCATGCCCTCTTGGGCTACAAAGGGATACTACTATCTGCTCTCATCCAGGGTCCCATCTGACAATGCAATCCAGCATCAGTACACCAACCAGGGCCCTGCCATTGAACCCAGAGGTCAGTTTTCAGGTCTGTCTTGCTGGCCTTGTCTGCACATTTGGCACAAAGGTCAACCCTGCTCCTCGATTCACATTCTTTATTTGGCTCCTGAATGCCACACCTCTTGGCTTTCAGCTGACTCCTCCCTTCCTTGGTAATTTATCACATCCAGTCTCATGGCTCCAACCACTATTCATCAGCAAGCTTTTCCAATTTATTTCTCCAGTGTGGACTTCTCTGAATTCAGACTCACAAATCAACGGTCTACTTGACATTCCCTGGGATGTCTAATAGGCATTACGAATTTAGTGTATCCCATAATTAATTCCTAATCTTCAACTCTGCCCCTAACATACTCCCCTCTTACTCCTAGTTCAGGGCCACTCTGCCTTTCCAGGTGCTCAGGCTCCAACCTTTAGAATCATCCTGAAATTTCCTTTCTCATATCTCATCTGTCAAAAAACCTCTCCATTCTACCTTCAAGCCAAAATCCAGGATATTCTCTCCATTTTTCCTACTACCTCCCTGGATTACCATCTCTCAGCAACCTCAAGAGCATCTGCCTTCTCTCTTTGGTTTAATTTAAGACAGTAGCCAGAGTATGAAGACAAGGGGCAGATCATGCCTCTCCTCTATTGCAAACTCTCCAGTGATTTCCTCCCAGTGGAAGTCAAACATCACTGGGCTCTCCAGGCCTCACCCCTACTACCTCCTCTCCCCTCAGAGACCCTATTTCCTCTATTTCACCCCCTGGTCAGCTCTGCTCCAGCTCCACTTGTCTCTAGGCCATGCCTCAAACATGCCATACACAGTTTCCCTGCAGGGCCTGTGCACCTCACAGTTTTTCCCTCTGAGGGAAACACTCTTCCGGCCTCCACAGGCTCCTGCCTCACATCCTGCAGCTCTTTGCTCAAATGTCACTTTCTCAGTGAAGTTTTCCCTGACTCTTCTATTTAATTCTTTCCTAACATTCCCTATTTCATTTTTCTTTACAACACTTACGGTTCATCTAAGATATTCATCTATTATTTGTTTAATTTTCCTTGTCTCTCTGTTAAAATGTAAGGTCAATCCAAGCAGACAGTTATCAGTTTTGTTCAGGTTCCAGTTCCTGGCATGCAGTAGGTGCTCAATAAATGTTTCATGCATCAGGGCAGCATCATTGTGGCTACAAAGCGTGGTCAGGATGTGGGCTACCAAACCTTTGGCTTCAGTGTGTATCCTGGAGACACTTTTGAGTGTGCCTGCCTTTGTTTTCTCTGCAAAACAAGATAATGGAAAATAAAGTCCCCCAAAGCTCTCGAATTTTTGGAATTTTTAGAAGAAGACTGAACTAAGGATCCAAACGTGGGCCATCACACGTGTGAAGGGCAGGTTGAAATCTCTTCTCCTGAGGTTGGCCAGAAGAGCCAGTTGAAAGGACAAGCAGGGACAGACAGTGGGAGGGGTGGCAAGGTGTAGGCGGCAACAACGTAAGGGAGCGAATCTCAGCATTCTGAGCCGCTGCAATGACCAGCTGTGCTACAACTGAGCACTTTACGTAACTCTTTGAACTTCCGTTTTATGGCAGGTCCTTGCAGGGACTGAAAGCAATAATGCAGGTGGCTCAGAGGAACGCTCCACAATGCCATTGGCCGTTCTCAGATTGGCGGGAGTCCGGTGAGGAAACACAGGAGGAAGTGGAGGTGGTTGCGGGGGGCAGAGGCTGGTGGGGATAGCAGAGCAGGTGGGGGAAGGGAGACGAGACACGGATCTGGACGTCTTGGGGAGAGGGATGGAGCAAACGCCGTACCATTTGGGGCGGGGCCAGACGCGGAGGTGTTCCCGGGGGCGGGAACGGTGACCTGGCATCTTTAGGCGTCCCCGGGACTCAATAAGACAGGAAGAGCTGTCTAGGGCCAGCTACGCTCCGATCGGTGCGGACACTCCGTGTTCCGACCTCTAGCCGCGTTTCCGCCGCGTCCTCGCCTGCACCCACCACCTACAGCGCAGCAGCCCGGCCCCAGCATGACCGACCAGGCAGCCTTCGACACGGATATCGTCACCCTGACCCGCTTCGTTATGGAGGAGGGCAGGAAGGCCCGCGGCACGGGCGAGATGACCCAGCTGCTCAACTCGCTCTGCACTGCGGTCAAAGCCATCTCCACGGCTGTGCGCAAGGCAGGCATCGCGAACCTGTGAGTCAGGCCTCAGGTCACTGGGCCTCATCTTGTCTGTCTGTCCAGCTGGGGATGTGCCCGACAGTCTGATGTATGGTCCTCAGGTCCTCCTGCTATCAGTCTGTCTGTCTGTGCGTCCTCTCCTCTCCAGAAGTTTGCACTCAAGCCCTGGTTCCCTCCTCCTCTTCTCTTGATTTTCGAGGCTCCTACCTGGGGCCCTGTCACCGGGTCCACACCTGCCTCCATCCTACATCTCTCTTACAGGGGCTGAGCAGCCTGCTTTGCTTGGCACGCCGTCAGCTTCTTCTTGGTGAAAGTGGATGGCTGGTGGGCACATGGCCTGCTGGCCATACCCATCCTAGCCTCATACTGGAAAGTGTTGGCGGGGTACTTTGTTTTCCCTTTCTCTTTTTTGATATCCTTCATTGTTTATGGAATTTGGGTCTCAAATCCGGCTTCTAATCCAGTATCTCCTTGAGCCTCAGCAAGTCCTGTTAGGAGCCACTGAAGCCCCAGGCAGGCTGGGAGGAAGCCTGCAGCTCAGAGTTCTCTGCAGCAGTAATGCTGTGTGCAAATGGTCAAGCAGGCCCTGTTGGGGCCTGAGAGTCTGCATTTCTAAGTTCTTAGGTGGTGTTTATGTTACCATGCTGTTGAGCCGCAGATCACCTTGTGCACATCAATGGAATCATAAAACTTGGGGATTCAAAAGGCACCTTCTGTAAGTAACACAAATACTCTTTATTTTATTCTGGTGTCCACAATTATTTTATATTTATTTGGTCCTCACTTAGCTGAAGGGTACCTTGACTTTCAGATTGTCCCCACTCCTTCCTAATATTTCACATACTCAGAGACAGTATAAAAATTGTGTGTGATGTTCATAGATGATCTGAGAAAGTATAACCCCTGCAACCTGGCTTCCTTTTCTAGTGAACCATTTGGCTCTGGTCACATAGCATGGATTGTTGACTCAAGAAAGGAGTGTATGGTCACCCTTATTTTTAGATGTCAAGCAGGGATGGGCCTGGCAGGGAGAGGGACTGGGGCAGGTATGTTAGGAAGGTCCTCTTAATACATTTCTAAGGAAACACACTTAGTTAAAATCTCACTTCAAATTTAATTGTCAAAAAGTAGAGGTGACCTCATAGATTTACCTGTCTTTGAGAACAAAAGAACAGGAGGCCTTTTAAAAAAAGAGTACTTGTCATTTCCTGTATTACTTTAAAAGTGTGTCTATACCTTTCACACCCTCAAAGAAACTTGGAAATGCAAGATCTGCTTTGAGATGTATGTATATTTCTCACCTTTTAAGAAACCTCAGATAGTGGGACCTGGACAAAGGGTACTAATTTTGGCTGTATAAAATATGTATATATTTTTAGACTAAATAGCAGTGAATACAGATTTAAAAAATATTGTTGTTATTATTACTATAAACTACTTAATAAAAGGCACTCATTGACAAAAATTCAAACCACTCAAAAGAACATTAAGGGAAAAGTGAAACGCATCTCCGTCCATTCTCTGGGGTGTCCTCCACTAATAATTTATTGGTTATTTTATCAATTATTTATTTATACTCATATAAGTTTATAGATGGATATCTTTACATGTGTGTATATGTGAGTAGCAAACAAAATGGGATCACAGCTAACATATACTTCTGTAGTTTGCTTTCATCACTCAACAATATATAATGACCATCCTTCAATGATGGGACATATAAATCCGCCTCCTTCATTTTAACTGTTGCCTAGTATTCCATTGCATGGATATATCATGAGCTGTTTTATTTTTCCCTGATGTTAGCACATTTTATTTCACTGGTCTTTGACTATTTACAAGAGCATTGTATTCGTGGAACACAGGTTGATGGTGGTCATGTGGGCAGTTGACGGGGAGGACCAGAACTGGGAAGAGTTTGCTGTCTCAGTATGACATGTAGTCAGGGAGGCAACAATAAGACAAGATCTCAAGTCAGGGCTCCAAATTACATTCATTATTGGCTTTGATGTTCTGGATGAAAAGGCTAGCGTGCCTGCAGATAGCTTGTTAGTGCTGAAGACTTGCCCTAGAAGAACAGGCACCCAGAATGACAAGATGATTGCTGATTTGCAGGAACCTCACAGGAACCAGTTTTTGGAGTTCAGGTATAAGGTCCCATCCGGGAGACTTTAGAAGTTTCCGCAAAGAGCCCGCTGGAGTGCTTGTTCTCTCTCTCTCTCTCTCTCTCTCTCTCTCTCAACCAACAGTTGATCTTTAGCTACTTTTCTTGCTCTTAATAAGATATTCACAGAATTACAGAGTTTTAAGCTGAAAGCCTCAGAAATCACCTGGTCCCACCCCTCTTTGTACAGATGAGGACCCCACAGCCAAGGAAGACAAGGTGACTTGGCCTTTGGCACAGGTTGGGCTCTTTTCACCAAACCACACATCTCTTCCTTTATTTTTTAGAAGATTATTAAAGCTGTCCCAACTCTAAATCTCATCTATTAACTACATTTTTGATGTGAATTAAGATTTGTATCTTGAGAAGCCATTGCCTTAGAGTCAATGTGTTTTGAAGCCCATGCTTCTGGCCTCTACCTACTGTTGGCAGAGATGAGGGGCAACCAGTCTTCTGTTCTCTCATGAGACCAGTCAGCAGTCTGAAGGTGGACCTGATGAATTCATGGTTCAAACTCCAGTGTTCTCCCGCTTCTCTGTTTCCATTCCTTTGGGAGAAAGTGGTCCTCCAGTGGCTTACGCTTTTGCTTTAGGCATGTTCAGTTGACTTCCCTTTGTGCGTATTTCCAAATCACTGAAGAATTCACTGGTTCTATGTAATTCAACAAAATGTTATTGAACAACCATAATACACAAAACTCTAAAAGAGCCTAAGAGATGAGAATGTCACAGAGCTTATACTATAGGAAAAATACAATATAGAATTAGTTATAAAACACAATAGAGATTCTGAAAGATGCTTTCATAGAGAGGCCAAAAACATGATGTGGATGCAAAGGATGCAAAGGATCCACGGAGGTTAGGGAGTGGTGCTGACCCAGGAGCCCCACAAACCAGAGCTGGCCTTGCAGGGCCCTCACTTCTTGGTCTCCTCTTCCCACATTTCAGAGCTCCCCGAAAAGGGGCAGGGCAAGAAAAGCTCAACCAAGCTAGGGCGTTAGCAAGAGGAGGGGGAGGGCCTGGGAGAAGTCTGAGTGTGGATTGGGTGAGAAGGGCAACTTCTCAAAGAGTCGGTCCCAGCAAGTGACAACAGGGCCTTGCCATTAAAAACCGAATTAAACAAAAATAAAATTTCGAAGGAGGAGCTGGTTTTTTGAGGCTGGGGAAGGGTGAGAAGATGATTCTGACATTTTGGAAACGTTGAACTTAAGGTGTTAGAAGGCTATCCAGTTGGACATGTGGTCCAGTCAGCAGCTGGACGTACCAGTTTGGAATTTGGGCATGAAGCACTGACTAAAGATTTGACCACCGGGTTTTGGTCCATTCTGCCCCGAGGTAGAAAGAAAGAGGAGAAAACCAGGACCAGATGGAGAAGAACAGGAACATGCAGGGCTTAAGAACAAATTTCAGAGTGATGGAGCTGGGCTCAGATTCTGGCTCTGACATTTAATTTTTGTGAGAATTTTGACAATTGATGTAACATCTTTGTGACTCAGTTTCCTCACTGGTAAGATGGAGACAACTGTCTTTTTCAACCTCAGAGAGTTGTGTGAGGATGAACTGAGTTCATTAAATGGGTACTAATATCATCATTACTTTTCTAGGTTGAAGTTTTTTTTTTTTTTACTAAATTGGTATCTTTTTATTTTGCTTTTCATTCCTTAGTAGTTGCCTACATCATATACAGTAGGCATGTACTTCAAGCTAGACCATTATATATTAAAACAATGTTGCACCCTCAGATGGGTTACAGGAAATCTCCTCCTGTCATATTCAGGTGGTGTAACTTTTTTTTTTTAAGAGTTTTTAGAAGTAAAGAACAGTTACTTTTATGTATGGGGCCCTCTCCATATCTATGGAAGAAAATAATAAATAACTTCAGTTCTCTAATTTTGGAATTACAGGTCAGTTAATACATGCTTCAGTTTATCTTCAAATTTGCAGAGTTTCTAACATTAACTTTTGGAAACTATCAGATTTATATTTTATATTTCTTGAATTAGCTTCTCCACATTTCCTTTTCGTACCAGAAGCACAGCCAACCACATTCCATCCTATTTGCCCACTTTGGCTAGCATGAACTCAAACAAAGGCTGTGGATTATGACATTTAAAAGCTGCTCAGGTTGGTGCCTCTCCCTCAGTGTATTTCTGATCTGACCCTTGGACGTTCCCGGCTCGGTGACTGTTTGGTTGGTCATTTACCTTGGAATCAATGAATAACAAGTCAGTGTCACCTTGGACTTCAGTGATAAGGATTACATCATAGTCTGCCTCCCTTTTACTTTGGTTGTGTGTTCGGAAAGCAAGCTTTCCCACTTGTTTCTTTTGTGTGCTCTCTGAAGTGTCTCCCTTTCTGTCATGGTAATATCAGGAGAAAATTGTATCAGGCTGTCATGTTGACATCAGGAGGAAATGATTTGAAGTTAGTAAATCAAGGAAGTTTTTGAGAATTCTTCCCTAAGTGTGGCCCTGGCTCTTGTCCTTGTGTCCAGGGCTGTGCTTCAGAAATAGTGAATCACATACTCTATGGCTAGGAAATGGCTCAGTCTGTCCTAGAAACTATATGTCAATTCAAAAACAATGTTAATATTTAATCCAAATTTCTAAGGATAATAAAAGCTGGCTAAATTAACCTATTATTCTAAGGAGTTTCCCAATCATATGAATTAAAATGACTTACAGTTTTTCAGATTTTCACTGAGGTTTACAGTAAAAGTAAGAGATATATTTTCAAATCAACCTTTGCTCTGAAACTCCAGAAAAAGAACTTTTGTGTTTCTAGGGATTTAAAGAAGAAGAGCCACAGGGGCTTAAACCTTGAAGGGAGGATTTCCTCCAACCTCAGTTGAC